AGCCCAGAGATTAAAAATTACCTAACTACACTTGGGGCGGAACCAACTAACTATAATCATCCAAAGATTAAAAGTTGGTGTCGAAGTTTTCAGAAGTGCTGGAATTTTCAATGCTTCTTGAGAGCAGCCACCTTAGCCAGGAACCGCGCCACGTTAGCTGTTATCAGTCCATCAGCATTCTTCTCTTAATGATTTTACAAATGTTTGAAAAAAGAGCTTCCCGTGCTCTCTCTTCCAAAGGGAATCCACCCTGGAACCCAGTCTGATGTAGTGGTTAGGAGCACGGATTCTAATCTGGGAGAATCGGGTTTGATTCCCCACTCCTCCACATTCAGCTGCTGGATGACCTTGGGCAAGCCACAGTTCTGTCAGAGCTGTTCTCTCAAGAACAGTTCTGGAAAGAGCTCTCTCAGCCCGACCTATCTCACAGGGTGTCTGTTGTGGGGAGGGGAAGGGAAAGGAGTTTGTAAGCCACTCTGAGTGAAGGGTGAGGGATAAATCCAATCTCCTCCTCCTCTTCTCTGCTCAAAGAAGTGAGGCACATGTGACTATTGTACGGGAGATCCAGGGTTGAACCCCTCATTTTTTTTCTTTAATACTAAAGGCAGCCAAATTCATGCACGATTAGAATGGAGGTGCCCTGCGAATGAAGGGAAGGCACTAACCGTTTCCCCTGCTCCTTGTGCCACTTCCCTGACAATAATTGCCTCCCTGAATGATTAGCACCAGTAGGGGGGAAAGACAGAGACAACACAGGAATCAATCTTTTTTGCTTCTGAGCATAGCTAATGACAGCTTAGTGGGGGATCAGGGATGGAGAGTGCATCCCACCACTGTCCAATCACAGGCTTTCTCAGTAACCAGGATGGACTTTCTCCCAGATGGACGAAGGAAGATTTCAACACTTGTATATTTGTAAGTGCCTTCAGTTCAGTCTGAACTCTTCCCGGGCTTTTTGGGGCCACAAGATCATTGTTATGATCTGTTAGGAATCTGGGGGCGGGGGCTGGTGAAAGTTCTGCATGCTGCTGTAATTGTTTGATGTTCTTGCAGTCTGTGGTTCAAATGTTCTTATTTCTGTCACTTCCCTTGGACCCCCATTGCCTGAGAGAAAGGAGGCCTTTTAATTATTTTAAATAAGACAAATATCAGGAGATGTCACAGAGAGACACAGAGAGAGGGGTTAACTCTTCTCCCTTGTCATCATAGCCCTGATCCAAGCCCTTCCCAGGGTTACTTTTTAATGTTCAAGGAAGTGCTGGGGAGGGGAATCCAGTTACTGGTCTTTCATGTAACAGGCTGTTCTGGCTGTAAGGAAACCTACTGAATCCATTCAGGTGGCAAGCTGTGTTGGTCTGAAGCAACAGAAGAAAGTTTGCATCCAGTGGCAGGTTTATGGCCAACAAGTTTAATTCTGGATATAAGCTTTCATGTGCATGCACTTTTTAATGTTCAGGGTGGACCCCCCAAAGTGCCTCCACATGAAAGCTTATACCCAGAATTAAACTTGTTGGTCTTCAAGGTACCACTGGACTCAAATTTTGTTCTACTACTGGATCCATGACTGGGGTGAGACTTGAAAAAGATACATTGTGGCTCACAGCTCATGCTCTCCACAGTTTTCCTATACCAGTCTTTACTGCATACGCAAACAGCTGCAACCAAAAAGGGGAACATCCAGAAGCCCCCCCCCCCAACACACACTCAAATAATCTAAAGGTGCAGAAAATTAACAAGATGCTGTAAAAAAAAGAAACTCAGTACTTATATTTTGAGGTGTTAAATACCAGGAGACAGGATAATATCAGCATGTCATTTTTGGTTGACATCCCATCCCAACCCCCACATTTTTTACTGATTCTTTTAGTTTGGTACATTTCATCACTGACTGGAAGATTTTCTGTGAACTGACAGGACAGCAAAACCATGGCATATGTGCCACATTATCAAAGGCACTTGCACTAAAAAGACTTCCCCCAAAATGTCAGCAGCTGAGTTTGGTCACAAGTTGTTGATGTGCTAACAGCACAACAGCAGCTGTGGGAAAGTCAGAAAGGAAAGTATCCTGACTTCGATTTTTTTTTCTTCCTAACATTTTTTTCCTTCCTAAAACATATTTTATTTGTGAAAATGAAGATGGCTAATGTCACACTTTCTTTTTATCTCGTGTGGCAGAAGTAACATTAGAAAGTCTGGGAACAAGAAATGACTCAGCAGAATGCAGGCATGCCGTAGATGGAGATATCTTCAGTTATCCTAATTTCAAAAATACTCACTTGTGTAACCTCACTGTCAAGCAATGCTCCCTTGTCACCGCATGTGTCTTTCATTTCCTGGCCATCTAGTTTTTTCTGCTTTCTCCTGCTCCATCCACCTTTCTTTTCTCTTAAAGAGATTAATATTTATTTATTGAGGATATTTCTATGGCGCCTCCTCAGAGTCCTGCTCAAGATTGTTTACAATTAAAACACTCTGTGTGTGTGTGTGTGTGTTTAAAGTGCCAAGAAGTCGCAAACAACTCATGGTGATTCCAGCAAGGGACTTTCAAGGCAAGCGAGAAGCAGAGGTGGTTTGCCATGGCCTTCCTCTGCAGAGTCTTCCTTGGAGGTCCCCCTTCCAAGGACTGACCCTGCTTAACTTCTGAGGTCTGATGAGGTCAGGCTATACCATGCTGCCCCCCCAAAAAAAAACCCCAACACTATAAAAACAAGCCACTGGACATAAAGAGCATTAAAAAACCTATCCCTATAACAGAAGCAGACTATTTGAAAAGTTGGTAAGATGAACCATCTAATCAAAAGCCTGGGTAAAAAGATGTATTTTGGCCTGGCTCCTTAAAAATATAGCAAAGTAGGCACCAGGTAAGCGTCAAGGGGGAGGGCATTCCAGAGGTGAGGTGCCATCACAGAAAATACCCTGTCTCTAATTGCCCCCGACCGCACCTCTGAAGGCAGGGTCGCCCAGAGAACAGGGCTTGAGAGGCGGACTTTAACCGGCGGGCTGGACAGAAGAAGAAGAAGAGATTGGATTTATACCCCGCCCTTCACTTGGAGTCTCAGAGCAGCTTACAAACTCCTTTCCCTTCCTCTCCCCACAACAGACCCCCTGTGAGGTGGGTGGGGCTGAGAGAACTCTGACACAAACTGCTCTTTTTCAAGGACAGCTGTGCCAGAGCTTGTGACTGACCCAAGGTCACATCAGCAGGTGCAAGTGGAGGAGTGGGGAATCAAACCCAGTTCTCCCAGATCAGAGTCTGCACACTTAACCACTACACCAAACTGGCTCTCCAAACTGGACAGTGCAGGAGGAGAGGGTCCTTCAGGTACCCTGGCCCCAAGTCACTCAGGGGGGCCTGAAAAATCGTGCCCAGAAACCGATGGATCACCGATGCCG